ACTGATGTTATTTAATAACAGTAGTTGTATCTAGTTCTGCCTGGCATATGTGTATATATATATATATATATATATATATATGTGTGTGTGTGTGTGTGTGTGTGTGTGGAGAGAGAGAACTCCAATTATCCCTTGATTGTTTTGACCAGTGAAATTATTGAACAAAATTTTACAGTTTTTGATTTTAAGAATTATGGTCTAATAAAGTTGGTATCACTGTTACAGTGACGTACATGTTTATATATTTAGTTTTTGGTTTGTTGCTTTTATTTTATTTTCCTATCAATTATTTTTATTACAACTATTTAGTTGGTGCCCCTGGTAGCCACTGTAGGACTTGGTGTCGTAGTTGCAAGTCTATACCTGGGAAGGCTTGCTGTGAAGAGTCCGGAAGTTAGGTAACAAAGTAAAAGTTCATAATAATTTTACGTGCGTGCATAATTCTGAGAAAACGAATATCACATAAGATTGCTGGAATGTAAACAAGTCATAATGACTAACTTATCAAATGTAAATACTCATTGAGATTGTTTTTGGTTTTAAATTTCTTTTTGGAACTTGCATTTTTCACTATTAAATTGTACAGACTGTTTTAAAATGTTTATTTAGATATAGTTTATGCTACTAAAAAGAAAAAAAATCTCATTTTTTGTTACATTACAACTTTTTAGTTGATTAAATGACTTCTAACTCCAGAAAAGTTTATTTTATAAACATTTTGTTGTAAAAACTTCTTAAGGAGCAAGATTCTAATTTGATCAAACAAATTAAGTATAAAAATACTTAACAAATTAACTTCTGTTTGATCAAACAAATTAAGTATAAAAATACTTAACAAATTAACTGTTTAATTTTTCAGTTTTAAAACCTATTTTTCTGTCTTATGTGCTGACCACTAAAAAAAAATCAGTGTTGTTATAATACTAAGGCTACTTAATGAATCAGCTTATATTTTTTTGTAGAGGTAAAAAATAAAAACCATAGTGTGCTTTGAAAGTGAGAATGGTTAAAAGTAGCTGTTATGTGACAAAACTTCTACAACTTCTTTGGAAACGTAAATTTTTATTTCTGTGTTTTAGAATCTTGGCAATATTAAACTATTAGTTTAGTTTTGAGTTTACTAACTGATGAAATATATTTTATTACAATTTACAGCTTTGATTGTAAGATTAGTTTTAAAACAGGTACGACATTTCGATCACCAGTGCGATCATTATCAATAATTTGATCAAAACATTGTACCTGTTCTAAAAACTAATCTTACTTACTTTAAAATCTGTAAGTTGTGATAAAATATTAAACTGTTTATGTTCATATATATTACATAAAAAAATATATATAATCTTTCATTGAATTTTTCTGTAGCTGGAATAAAAAGCAGAATCCTGAACCATGGAATGAATATGACAAAAAACAGTACAAGGTAAGTTATTAATATTGTTTTGATAATTCTGTTAAATGATTTTTTTAAAAACAGATTATACATCATTACTACTCAAACACTGTTAAATTACAAAAAAGTTTTGAATTGTAGGAAATGTGTATTAAAAACTGGTGACTTTATTTTAATGAAATATCTATGTGATTGACACAAGCCTGAAGTTTTTGAAGTATAATACTCATTTACTGGTCTTCAAGTGATTGATAGAGTTGATAAAATTACCTTTGTGTCAGTCATGTAAAGATAACCTATGCCCTTTTTGTATAAAATATGTTTTGTTCTTGACAAATTCAAAATATTTACACTGTTTTTATGGATGTGCAGGTTACACATAAGCATTTTACTTAAGCACAAATGAATATTGATGTTTATACGTGTTTAAATGTTATGTAAAAAATATATATTTTGAATATCAAACTTCACTTTTAAATTCCATCCAAGTGATACATAAAAGTAAGTGAGAAATAGTAACCCTGTATACTTCGTGTGGGTGTATAATAGTTTCTTTATGAATCAAAGTATGTAAAAGAAATGCACTTTCGTATACTCTTAATTACTGACACATCGGATGGCTTGTTTGAGAGCTTTAAGTAATGTAGTGTGTAATCAAATATATGTTCAACAAATTTTTGAAAATCAGATTGCTTTAAAAAATATACAATTAAATCACTTTGAATATCTAAAAAAATGTAAATTTATTTCACAATAGCTTTAAATTACCTTTGTGAGTTTCATAGTTTACCATTAAAAATACAAGCCAGTTGAACTATAAAAATTGAAAAAACATTTATTTTCAAGCAGTTTTTGGTTGTTAGGGAATAATGGAACTTGCTAATTGATTAATTGTTGGACTCATTAATCAGTTACATTCATCTACAATGTTAATCTCATGAAGTGGCTGAAAAAACTTATAATGTTAAAAATTGGGTTTTGATGACAACAGTGGACCGATTTTCCATTGTGTAGTTTTGTGCTTTACATCAAACAAACATAATGGCAATATTTTCAATTACATGGATAGTTGAAATGTTCAGAAAGTTTAATAATAGGAAACTAAGTTTGATTAGTTGATTATTTTTGGGAGTCGTGACACTAATAGTTTAAGTTAAATACATTTGAATTGATCAAAAATAATGAAAAAAATCATAATGGCAATATTTTGAGTAGTAGATAGTTTGAATAATTGAAATCAGTAAAAATCATAAACACTAATTTTGATTAGTCGATTATTTCATTGATTTTTACAAAGTTTATTTACATGACCCAATGTAAGCCCCTCTGTATGTCACCCAAATCATCACAAAACCTCTCATCAGTAGTAAGGCTACAAATATATTTTTATACAAGTGTTGTGTTCAAACATGAATTTGTTAAAACTACAAAAGCATCTTCTACGTGCCCTTCTTAAAATAATTATATAAATATTTAATTAAGTAGAATGTACAAACATATTTAAATGTTGAATTATCAGTGTTAAGTATCATGTGTTTTTATTTTCCAATGTAGTTTATCGTGTGTTTTTTCCCAATATAGTTTATTGTGTGTTTTTTTTCAATGTAGTTTATCTTGTTTGTTTTTTTCCCAATGTAGTTTATCGGGTGTTTTTTTTCCCAATGTAGTTTATCGGGTGTTTTTTTTCAATGTAGTTTATCGGGTGTTTTTTTTCTAATGTAGTTTATCTTGTTGTTTTTTTTTCAATGTAGTTTATCGGGTGTTTTTTTTCAATGTAATTTATCATGTGTTTTTATTTTCCAATGTAGTTTATTGTATGTTTTTATTTTCCAATGTAGTTCTATTCACCAAATGTGGACTATGAAAAATTGGATGACAAACGTCCCACATTTTGAGCCTGTCATATTTCTCGGAAAATTTCCAGTATACCCTTTCCACAACTTAAGAACAGGAATCTCAAAATTTACAATTTGTTTTATATATATATGAATGTTTCAAATATATTTGAATATTGTATCTTTTGAAATATAATTTACTGAATTTTTAAAACACTTTTTTTGTATTAAATTTATTTTGGCTTGGGACCAAAAGATATGGTAAATTTAAAGATCTGGCATGAGGAATTATAGAAGAATCATTTTTAATTAGAGAGTAGTTTATGCATCAAGAACATTGGTGTAATTTCAAACCATTTTTTACTCGTAATGTTTCTAGCAGTTTCAAATTTTATTTCGGTAGGAATTGTATCATTTAGAATGTAATAAATATTACTAAGGAAAATGTTTTTTTTTTTTTCAGTGCACAAGTTATCACCGTAATTTATTGTAGCAAGAAACATTTAAGAAACTAAACTACACTTATTTTTTTAAATCAAGATATAAATATTTGCAGCTCGGGTACTAATTGTTACACAACAGCAGAAATTTGATTCTATTTGAATATATCTAAATTGTGTTTATTTATCAAATGGAAGTGCTAAGCATATTGTCTGTGTGGCCTGCTTCATTAGTACATTAACATTCTTGTCTTTTAATAATGTGTACAGTTAGTAGAGTATACATTTGTTTTAAATTCTTTAACGTCAAAAAAAAGATTACAGTACCTATAGTCACCATAATTTTATTTTTTATAAATCATTAATGTACTTTTCTTGATAATAATAAATTATGAGCAAGTTTTAAGGGAGAAAACTTAACTAATGTTAAGCACGGAACTCCATTACTTACATATTTACTGTTAGCCATTTGAAATTACTCCTACTTGAATTAATTTTGATTGGTTTTACTAAATTATATGCACCGTGTGTATTTAGAATGGTTCGGCTATTACTTGAGAGAGAGAGAAAAGTGTTTTTTTTTTATATCCAAAACAGTTGAGCATGGAGGTCAGTTACCAGTGGAACCGATACAAAAAGTATTACTAAGAATGTCTAAAGTAAAAACAAACATTAATTAATACAGTCAGTTATAGAATTGCAATAATATTCTGTGCAAATGATAAACAACAGAAACACTAAAACATTGAACTTCCTACATTAATAATTTGTTTTGTTTTTAAAGAGTTGATACAAAGAACCTAGATAACATATGCTTCAATTAATTTAATTTAATTTCCCTAAAGCAAGTTGTGTACCCTACCAACTACATGTTTTTGAATAGGAATTATTTTCTATGAAGCTTATATACAGACTGTCTGACTAGTATTTTGTTAGAGAATAACTGGATTAAACTTAAAATACAAATGTGATAATAATGCAGACATATCATGGGTGTTTCACCTTCTTTAGTAACTTAGGAATTTACAAAATTATTGATTGTTTAGTTTCCACAATGTCAGGGCAGCAACAGATGGTCCAGAGAGTAGATAATATGTCTCCTCTGCCCACAGGGATGTTTCAGTATTGTATATAGAATCCGTGTTGAACATGTTAGCACTGAAATATCCTTGGCTGTATGATTATGACATATGACCAAAGCTGTCAGGGAAAGAGTCACAAGGTGATGCCATTTATTCGACAAAGGAGGAGAGTTACTATTCTGGATTTAAGTGTGTTGTCTTGGCTCAGTTCTACATTAGTAGAGACAGAAACTGCTCTTTTTTCTAGAAGATCTTTAGTGTTTGATCTCTGGAGAAAGATGGCAACAAAATTAAACACCAAATAACGGACTGTGGGTACACACACACTGGTTTTCTTTTTATTGCTGAAATAAAGATTCTATTTGTTTGTACTAAAGTTTCCCAGTTTTGTTACTTATACACTAAAGCAAACACTTAGTCTAATTGTCTCTATCACAAAAACCTAACGTGATGGGCAGAGCTCGGATAGCCCATTGTATAGCTTTGTGCTTAATTTCAAACAAACAAACAAAATAAATAGCATTGAAAAGCAATATATGAAAAAACGTTTAATATAACTTATCTACGTTAGTAAATATTAGTTAGGTAAGGCCATGCTATTCTCAGATTGAGGTGATATGTCTACATATATTGTGAAATTGATCTGAGAATAACAAAAACTGAGAAAATAAACAGACTGGACACGTGATGTAAAGTAAAACACAATATTTATTCATTCTTCAAAACTCGCTTTTTACATGATCAGTAAATCATTCAGCAGTTTCAGCTTTCATCTCTTGAGATGTTTTCCTGTCACGTTAGAAGCCTGGTGGAACTGAACAAATTCGATACACCATACAAAAATGGAAACGTAAGATTTGCGTTACCCACGTGACTGGTCATTCTCGTACAAATCATAGCGTTGTAACGTGTTATATCATTGAGCAGGTTCTTAAACTGATGCAAGTTCGGTCCACATAACGATAACGAATTAATTTATTTCTTCAGCAACGTTTACTATAGGCTACGTTCATTAGTAGTCCTAACTTCACAAACAGCATTCATTAGAAATTCTAAAATACGCCTGCCTCACAAAGTTCAAATCCATCACTTACTTGCACAACTGCCTTACTAATCCATTGATAATAAACACTGACTGACTAATTTGTCATACACTACCTCTCACTGAACTGATAAACTCACTCACTCTGTAATTTGCCCCCAGTGGTATGTTTGTTTGTAATTAAGCACAAAGCTACACAATGGGCTGTCTGAGCTCTACCCACCACGGGTATCGAAACCCGGATTGTAGGGTTGTAATTAAGCAGACAAACCGCTGTGTCACTGGGTCAACGATCATCATCAGTAATCTACACATTTTGCAGTTTCTGTGTGAAATCGGAAGAACTCTTAAGATATGAGTCAACTTATTTTGTGAAAATATGACATTTCTGTCATCAATATCTAAGCTTTAACAACAACATGCTATTTTTAGCATAAATTTTGGAGGTTGTACATTGGGGAAACCAGCAAATCTCTTCAGGACAGCATTAATGAACACAAAATACCACCTATTACCTTCTATGATGAGGCAAATTCGGATATTGCTGAACGTCATGGGAAAACAGAACGAGAAATAATACTGTGTGTGTACTTATTTTAGTAAACTTTATCTTAACATCTTTTTCAATAATCAAGAGTTTTTTATAATACTGATGGAGTTAAGCTTATCAACCTATAGATGTCGCTTACACCAGGTGATTTGTAATAAGCTGCTGGTTTGTTTGTTTGTAATTAAGCACAAAGCTATCTGTGCTATGCCCAACACGGGTATCGAAACCCGGATTTTAGCGTTGTAAGTCCTCAGACATACCGCTGTGCCACTGGGGGCATAAGCTGCTGGAGATAGCGCATAAGGTGTTTATACTTGTTGATTGTTGTTCAGTGTGTCTTAAGTTGAACTGTTATAATATTACGTGTCCATATACATTTTACAAAATGAGTCTTTATAATATTTATGTGAGTATGTAACCGTAAATTTACATGTTTTTACAAATCGATTCAGGTGTATCATACTATACATGTTTTTACAAATCGATTCAGGTGTATCATACTACACATATTTTTTTCTGAATTTAAAAGTATACACAGTAAACACAAAAGTTACTTAGAGTGTTGAGATATCTCGAATAGAACTGAAGTTTAAATTTTCTGCTAATAATGTGCAGTTGTCAAAGTAACTTACGTCACAGCATATTAAACCTAAAGGCAATCTAGTTTTTGTCAATGATGGTAAATAATGTGTTGAGTTTATTTACTGAAAATACTATTAAGTAAAAACAATTTTAGGCAAGGAGAAAAATTATTTTGACAAAATTGACACCACATTAGTTTACAAAAATAGTAAATTCATTTTATGAATATTTCATTCGTGTGATGTATTATAATCAGAAATCTATGCAAGTTTGCCTCGAGATAATTTGAACCGATGTAAATAAAGAATTTTTTACTTTGTGTTACTCAGCCTCCCTTTCTCGGGGGACCCAGATTATTCTGTATGCAGTCAGAAACTAGCGAAAACTTCCCTATATGAGGTAGCAGCCAGGTGTCTGGCAAAAGTTACAACCGAGCCCTAAGGCGGAAGGTCTTGGGCGTAGCTCTGAGAAACCTGAATAACTTGGCAAAGATCACCGATGTTGGGCTAACAATACTTTGGTGCATGAGCACGAAAGATAACCTCAAAGAAATCACGCCTTATTACACCCAAAACTTGTCCAGGATGATTTCTAGAAAGCGATGCGGCCCGTGACTAGTGAAGTTACAAAATTTGTTGCTATTTTGTCAGCTGAACTTCTGATCTTTCATTCCTGCCATTTTTGCATAGAAGGTCACGTTTTTGGTCATCTTGCTCTTTAAACTATGGCTCCAGCCAATGCAGAAACGAACTTTGATTTATCAGATGTCAAAGATTTTGATGATATTTTCCCTCTCCTTCATTCTTTCTCTGCCACAGACACCAGCGAAAAGACCAAGCCATCAGTTGACGGATTCGGACTGTTAGTCCCCATTAACTACAGCCACTGACCTGACTACAATAAAGTTATCAATCATTGAGTGAGTGTACAAGTTTCAGTGTCAACAGCAACTAATTCTGTGGTAGCCACAAATACAGCTATGATCCCAGGTAAAAAGGAGCTTGCTACACAGAATGGTTTTGTGTCCTGTTGAATGGTGCTTGAAAAAAAAGTGAAGTATACATGTATCTACGACAGGCCTACCACATTTTGAAGTCCCACCATAAGTTCTTGAAGCTGAAGGAGCAGTATACCAGACCACAACATCATATCAGTGGCTTTGGCTAAGCTAATAATAACCAGCGGCCAGCTGACAATTCCAACCAGCACCCAGACACTCTAGCGGTCAGCTGAGTATCCCATTGTCAGCTGACCGCTAGAGGGTCTGGGTGTTGGTTGCCAACCAACACCCAGACCCTCTAGCGGCCAGCTGACAATTCCAACCAGCACCCAGACAATGTAGTGGCCAGCTGACAATCCCAACCATCAACCAGACCATCTAGACTACCATTGGTACTATTGATCAATATTATGGCCATATTATCACAACAAGAAGAAAATTAAAAAATGGTAGCGTCATTGTCAGGACCAGGACACAAAGTTGATCGATACTTTGTTCAGAAAATAGGAGGAGAAAATGATCAGACTCCAATATCTCTTTAAAGAAGATACAGCAACTGAAGAGCACGTTAAAAAACATAGAGACAAATCTTCAGTAGGCTAAATCTTTATGAAAATTTGTTTTTTTGAATTTCGCGCAAAGTTACTCGAGGGCTATGTGCGCTAATTTAGCAGTGATATATCAGAGGAAAGGAAGCTAGTCAACACCACCCACCGCTAACTTTTGGGCTACCCTTTTACTAACGAATA